AACTTAAGTGCGAATTAGGCTAAAGAGTCTAATTCAACATAATGCTCTCACGAGCCATGCGTCAAATTCTTAGAGTCATAACAACCTTGTCGGCCTTGACCTTTTTATTATTATGCTGCAACGTTTGCGCTTAGTGGTAAACGTTATTAAAAAACGTTAGCCTAGCTAAGGAATCATACAAAGAAGCCCCTCCTCATGTCTCACACTCAAGTGTGGAAACAGTAAGTGTCCAAACTTAGACAAGTTGGCAATGCTAATAGATTTTGCAGCCACTAAGCGCTAATCTTTTCACATAGTGTTAATAGATTTTGCAGCTTCTAAGCGCTAATCTTTTCACTTAGTGTTAATAGAATTTGTAGCTTCTAAGCACTAATCTTTTAATTTCACATGATATTTCAACGCACACTATTATAGTGCATGAAATTTTGCTCCATCCACTCCCAATAATTGGGTAGAGAGCAAAACACTGCTCATACTGGCTACTTGTCTTACACGTAATGACTAATTTATTTAAGCTCGCATTTCTTGGATGACGTGACTCTTGAATGTTACTTCATCCAATGATGTAACATTATTATAAGTCAAATTACAAAGTGAATCCGTGCAGCTCAATAGTCAAGATCATATAGAGATCTATTGAGGGCTTACTAATTTCATAACTGGAGGAAGTCTTCTCATGGTCTACACTTTCCTCAATGGTGCGACTTTTCGGTATCTAGCGAGACTTTGAGTCATGTTTTCTTACTTTGGCTCAATTAAGGTCTGACCTAAAGTCTCCAAGACTTTTGCTCATCTAAAGAATAGGATTACATTGTTCACATTTGAACATCTCTACTAAGTCTATGTCAATCAAATTAACTTCCATAAGCTAAGTCAATTTAGAAAGAAATTCGCATTGGAATTAATTTTTTTTGATTAGCATAATATAATTTTGCCGCAAAAATCTAAATTAAATAGTGACAATATTACATAAGTCGCAAGATCAAAAATCCGCTAAGCTCGTAATCATCTCTTGCGCCACAGTTGACAATTATCACAAATTTAATTTAATTTATGCACAAAATATTGGTTTTCGGGAGTTAATCTACAAAGATTTCTCTCAACCGAATAATCTCCCACTGACTATGGCATGTCTAAAAGCATGATAAAAAATTCTAATTCCATACAATAGCATCATAATGTAGATTCACAACCAACTTATGCTATGTCACAATTAATAATGCAATTTAAACAAATAAATAAATAACTAATCATGCTGCTTTAATTGCAACATATTACAAACCCAAAAAATATGCTGTATTCAATATTCAGATTATGCTACAATAAAAAGTATATCATTCTGAAATTTTCTGAAATTTTTCTGAAGTTTTTTGGAATTCTAAATAACTGTTTACACATAAAATTAGAAATAAAAAATTTCAAAATCTGATAAACTGAAAAAATTATACCAGTAAATAGTAAAACATTTCAGAAGTCTACAATAAAAATTTCATCTCCAGAAAATTATTTATGCAATACCAGAAGCATTTTAAAGCATAAATAATGAATTATTATCACAAAAAAATACTTTTAATTTTCATAAAATTTTCAAAATTTTATAGAACATGGAAAATGTAATTCTGAGTCTAACAGTACTAACCACGCATAAAACAAATCTATAACGAATAAATTATGACCATTTAACGCGATTTAGAATTAAAAACAAAACAAGCAGTGCCTTATGCATCAGCAGCCAAGCCAGCCAAGCCGGTGGAGGAAAACGGTGCGGCTCAGTGCGCGCAGCTCGCGTGTGTGGCACGGAGGGCGCGCGCATGGATAGTGTCGCTGATGCGTGCGTGATGGCGCGTGGAGGCGCGTTGGAAGCGCGTCTGGCGCGTGGCAGCGAGTGGCTGCGCGTGTAAGCAGCTCACGGCGTCAGGTGGAGCGTGCGGACCAAGCGCTGCCTTCCAGGGTGTTTTTGGTCCAATTTTTGTACTGCCAGACTCCATTTTTCAAAATAAAACCATTTATGGTATTAAAAAAGACATTAATAAACGTAAAAAATAGGTATTTATGCTCTTAATCTAATGAGAGTAGACATTTTCCTCCTTTATAAACATTAATGTATATAATGTGTACATATATATATAAAAATATACACATGATTAAAGAAAACATGAAAATACCCATTCAAGCTCTGATACCAATGTTAATCAAAGGTAAACGCATCGGATGAAAAATTATGGTCATACATTTTTCTGCAGAGTCTGAATTGAAGGATCTCGTGGGTAAATCACGTGCTTTTTGAATCTGATCAATCAACCCAGCAATGGAGTGATATTACAGAATGAATATCACCCACACAAGTCACAATGCAAAATGACTCTTGATCGTTGTATTTTGAGAGAGAGTCAGTATATGGGAAAAACATACGACATACGTTGTTTTTTTCTTAATCACCCATATCCCATATTATATCAGATATGTTGGATAATAATAAATCTATCCATATCAGTTATATCAGATATATAAGATATCTATATCATCTATCCATATCAGTTGATATGATAGCTATAGATATCCTGAGTGGTTATCCAAATAGGTTTTGAATTTAAATTCAAACTTATTTGGATAAGGTTCAAAAGATTCAAAGAAGGGTCAAGCCACATGGGCGCCCAATTTCTAACAATGGGTTTTTTAATTTCTCAAAATATTAGATGGCGACTCTAAGATCTGATGACGCAGTCCATTTCTAGCAAATGATTTTTGCAATAAAATGAATTTTCTAAAAGTTGACAAATCTAGACTCTCATCTATGTTTCACACTATACTCGTGAGACTAGATCAAAGAAATCTAGGATCCAAATTGCTTAACGCTTGCGGGTACTCCCCGAGCATGTTACAACTCTCTTAATCACTGTTCACCTCAAATCCCCCTTCAACAGCTAAGATAAAAATAAAAATAAAGCACATATATAAAGTGAACTTATAGATGTTAAAAAAAGAAGATGGTGATAATGGAAGAGTTGAACTACCAGCTAAAAATAAAGCACATATATAAAGTGAACTTATAGACGTTAAAAAAAGAAGATTGTGATAATGGAAGAGTTGAAGTACCAGCTAAGTCAGTTAACACGAAGGGCTTGTTGGAAATGCCTTCATTGTGGCATAAAACACTTGTTGTGCAAGATACATTTTATATTTTAGAACACAAACTAAACAAAGATAGTTGAGATGTTGTTTACCCCGAAAATGTTCTTTATAGAGATATACTACAAGAAATTGCACTTTTGGCGACTAAATTTTTAGTCGCCAAAAGTCAGATTTTTAGTCGCCGAAACGTTTTCCCGACTAAATAGTTTGGTCTCTAGCTTGGTCGCAGAAAGATTGTCGGGGAAGCTATTGGCGACTAAAAAAAATTTAGTCGCCAAAAGTCCTAATTGGCGACTAAACAAATAGTCGCCAAAAGTAAAGGTATTAGTCGCTGATAGGCTAAATTGGCGACTACTATTTTAGTCGCTAAAAGCTTCCAAAAACATTAATATCACATTTTCAGCGACTAAAACATTTAGTCGCCAAAATTAAAATTATTTTCCATGACTAATTTATTTAGTAGCCAAATTTTTTTTTTTTCATCTAATTTTTTTTAGCTACTAAATGTTTTAGTCGTCTAAAGTCTATTTTTTTATTTGGCTACTAAAATTTTAGTTGCCAAAAGTTTATTTTTTCATATGATTTTTTTTAGCTACTAACTATTTAGTGGCTAAATATATTTACTTCCTTATTGGCTACTAATTATTTAGTGGCAAAAAACATGATATTAATTTTTTTTTAAATGCATAAGTTGAATATTTTTCATTAATTTCTAAATTATATGTATTCCATTATCAAAACAACCTGTATATATACAGAATAATACATCTATCAATTATCATCTAAATCCATTACCAATAATACCCATTTCATTATCAATGATCCAAAAACTTTAACTTGTAATATCATATTCCAAATATCATATAAAATCACACCAACCAAGTATAATCCATCTAAATTATATATTACATATAAAAACACTGGATTTCCAAAACAGAGAATTGTAGAAAAATAAATGTTTTCCGTATACAGAACAAATGCTCTTCGCACACAAAAATAAATATCCACAATAGCCCACGCAAAAGCAATCTGTAAAAATATATATTAAAAAAAATTAACCATTAGCACTTATCTGTAAAAAATAAATTCTCTTTCAATCGTCAATTATCAACTGCAGTTTTCTTTAAATCATATTTTTATTAAAATATATCCTAACATAAGACATGATTCAAATTATCTCGCAAAAAAGGTCAAGCAAACGTGAAATGGTGCCACTATCAACGGTGAGCGATGAGGGGTATAGTGATGCTGAGTCCTTGAGAGAGAGGGAGCAAGAGTACTTGGCTCCGAATCACAGGAGCATAATGAATCAATGCCTAAATTTTTGAACATATCCGGCTAAAAAATTCTAACAAATATTTGCAACACCACAAATGATTGTAAAATCAGTTTCTATTCTTTATTAAATTTTATTTCTATTGCAAAGTATTGAGAAAGCTACCAAATCAAGATTATCATTATGATTGATAGTATAATTAAGAATTTTCAAAAATAGACAAAATTGTTAATGAATTAGCAGCAATGCAAACTGAATAAGTTGCCTCTTATTGGCATATGGTATATAAGGTGTATACCTATGCTAACAAAAAAAAACCAAAAATACATGCATATCAAATCAATATAAATCTATAATCATATATAAATCCGAATAGAAAGAACACACACACACACAAAAACAAAAAACAAAAAAAAAAAAACAAAAACAAACCAAACAAAACAAAACTGGAAGCCATGACAATATAATGTGCAAAAAGAAATCCAAGGTTCCTGAAAGTGTGACTTTCTGTTGCTCTTTCCAATCTGTTTCTTAAAAGGGAACTGCACTACTATCTTATATCATATCAAAATCAAATAATTAAGCAAAAGAATTTGAATGCCCTAACCATAGCACATTGTTAAAATTTATCCATTTCACACAAAACCCACATCATTGAGGTCTAGAGTAAGGAATATCAGTGGACAAATTAACCAAAACACCACTCTTCAAACACAGTTAAAGAGCTGAAAAATAGAGAGAACTAGTAATGGGGAAAAATAAACTAGAAAACAGAGAAGGGAGGGTTAGCTAAGTAATTCATGGTCAAGTGAGAACCTTCAATCTTCTGAAGAAGTTTCTTCACTTCTGCCTACACCCATCACAGTGTATGTCCACTTTGAGCACACAAGTCTGTAAAAAGACAAAAAAAAAAGAAATGAAAGGAAACAAAAGCAAACAACAAGAAAACAGAGATTGTAAGGAAAAGACCGACACCCAAGTTTCCTCTAATCTCTGGATTTTTTTCATTTTCTTTTTGAGGTCTAAAAGTCATATTAACTAGTAGCCGCAGCAGAAGATAACCAACTCAAAAAAGCCGAAGTGAGACTGAGTTGAGCAGACGATTTTATGTGCTGAAACCTCAAAATACGCAAATTTTAACATTCAAAATAATCCCTAGCTTTTCTCAGCAACCAAAAAGAGATTTGGGTAAAGCTGTCTATGCAGTTGTAGACATGTCAAAAGATTGATACAATGACTAAGAGTTTTAGAAATGTCAAAGAAGGCATAAACATACAGGAAGGAACTCATCAGCCAAAAGTCTGGTAAAAGCAAGACCCCCTCTATATTAGGTATGAAAGCAATGCTAGCTAAATCACATCAAATGAATTTCACAAGTTAAGATACCCACCCCTCACCTAAAAATGAATCCTTTAGTGATCCTCCAGGCTTCTTAATAATCTGAATGGCCTCCAAGTTTGTGCTGCCCTGCCATTTCCATGAAAATGATCAGCAGTCCTGCATGTTAGCAAAGGGAATGTTAGGTCCTAGTCATTAAGGATAAGTGAAACTAGCATCCACTGATGTTAAGAAATGGATATAAGAAATTAGTATAGAATACATCAACTTCACAATTTAATTCATCTTCTTTTTATTCAAATGATGTTTGATGTAAAGAGTATTATCTCAATTAGCAATTGTCATTTCAGAAATAAGTTTATACTGAATTACCATGACCTCTATAATCTCTTTCTTTCACAAAATAAATTCATATTGAAAAATGTCCATAAGCAGCAACATTTATGCTAATGAGAACAATTTTCCATGGTAAATCATACAAGAAAAAGGCTAATTGTGGACTATTTCCCATGACAAGAATCATTTTCAACATATGTTTCTGTCATTGCTCTTCATCTTGACCAACATAAATAAAGCAATGGCAAAGAGGTCAATAGATTGCTACCGTCAGGATTTGTGTATGAGACTTCTTCAATCAAGTCAAACAGACAAAATATGTGAAAGGAAACCAAATATGTGAATGAGGATTTTTTATATGCAGAATGCCATTACTTGTGTAGAAGAAGAAATATGCCACACAAAATAAATGTTCCTGTAATGAGTATCCATCCAATGATCACCAAGCTACAACAATTTAAAAGCACTCCTTCAAAAAGCTAAGCAGAAAAAGTAAAAGAACGGCAATTGAGTTTATATGAAGATGCAGTCTCACTCACATGTACACAAGAAACTGCATGTCGAGTAGTGAGAATACTGGACCAAAATATAACCAAAATAAATAATTCAAGTATCAAAAGTAACATGAAATCTAAACTTGTGATTTTAATTATGGAATCTAAACTCTTCTGATTTTATTTATGGTGTCTCTCTTTGTCCTTGACAAACTCTTGGGTAATTCTAGGATTTTATGGGGCAAGCATGTGATTTTTTTACAACATTTGGCCATTAACAATTTCTAAATCAAATTGAGGTGTCCTTTACAGTGGCTCACTGACAGAGGGAGGCATCAATCAGTACGTATAGTTATGCCTAGGATCCAGAAAATCAAGACAAGCAGCCTACCTTCTACCAGTAGAGAACATGAAATGTCAAACACCATCTTAGACAGACTCTAGTTTATTTGAGTTGTCAAAAATTAAATGGTTTTCATCCAAAACTATCTTTACTAGGATACGCACTAAATATTCATCACCATTGTGGTCATACAGAACTCACTCGAATCAGTTAATTCTGTTGATTCCATTTCCACAAGGCTCTTCTAGCTGAAAGTATAAGTCACAGAAGTATTTTAATTTGAGGCCATTCTACCAATAATCTATCAGACCCTCAGGTTGCATCAATAGATAAAGAACAAAAACAGTTCTCAACTCATGTTCAAAACTGCTTCAAATTTGGGTGAATTGATTCAATACGAGCAAGTAAGATCACTAATTTCTCAATTTTTATTCCTCTTCAAAGAAATTATGATAAAATCTATTGACAAAATGATAAGTTTTTCACACTTCAAACTTTTAACTATACTTTTTATTCCTGTACAAATGCCTAAATGAATGATTTAATAATAACTGAACTAACATTAACACCTTAAATATGGTATCTGAAAGTCATTGACATGCTACAGTATTTGTGTTGCTTGGGTGGTTGGTGTTGGTGGTGTAGTTGGAACTTGGAGTTATTGTCAATGTCCATCTCTACAGTGTTCTCCACTGCAGTGGCTCCCCTTGGGAACTTAGAAGAGGCACAGAATAATCAAACCTTTCCTAAAGGAAAATTACTGAAGATATTATAGCAAATAAGATTGATAAAGTAATAAAATAAACTCAGAAATTACAAAAAAAATTACAATTCAAGAAGGGAGATCAATAGCATATGATCACTGCATCAGATTGCTATCATTAAAACCAATATTCCATTTTTGCTTTAATCTTATAAATTTCGAGATTGGTCATTGATTATGGGTTTAATCTTATAAATTTCTTCTTTGTCAAACCCATAAAACGAAAATCAAATCCATAAAACTAAAATCAAACCCATTTTCGACATGAAGAATATCATAATTTCACAGAAATCAAACGCTTCAACCAAACCTATTAACGAAATCAACACAAAATTAAACTAAAAAAATCATATAAACCCTATATGAAGTGTGAGAAATGGGGAAGGGAGAAAGAGAGAGAGGGAACCAGAGAGATGGCTCGACAGAAAGAGAAAGAGACCCAGATCGACAACGAGGGAGAGGACTGTGTTGCGGATCGTGGGCACACCAGGGGACACTCACAAGCAAAAACACAAGAGTTTTAACGTGGTTCGGCAAACCGGCCTACGTCCACGGGAGCGATGTTGTTATATATCAACAAATGGAGGAGAGAGGAGCAGCGGAGAGGGAGAGAGAGAGAGAGAGGTAGAGGGAGAAACGCTGAAGTGAGAGAGAAAAAGCGCTAGTGTAGACGCGCCCGAACATCCCAGGAAAATCCCGTTTTGTTCATTTGGGCTTATTACAGTTCGGACTCAATGTCACGGTTCTGAGTCTAACCTTGCAAAGTGCAATGCAAGACCGATAAATCACCAAAGAGTCCAAATCCGGCAAATCGTTTTGGAAAACTGATTTTTATAAAGAAGTGCCAAACATGGACTGCTTTGCCAGATACAGAGTCGCCACCTAAATATTTTGTTTTGGGGGAAATTTAGAAAACCCTGACTCGTACCTAAGGCCACGTGTCCGTCATCACCAAAGTTGCCTCGGCTTGGGAACTTGGGTACGAGAGGGAAAGGTCATGCAATGAGCACCCCCGCTCGCCCGATCAAAGGATCGGTCTGTACTAAGCATGATATCTTGTTTTTTAAAACACTTGTGCTCTTATTTCGGTTATTAGCTAGAATTACTATGTGATGCGCACAACACACAAGTATAGACTAGATCACCTAAGTTGGAACAAAACATTGCATATTTATTTGTTTGAAAACGGTTTGAAGTTTGCTACTCGCAAGTAGGCTAAATCGAGGATTTCAATGAATTGTTCCAATTCAAGCAATCCAACCTTTACCCACAGGCATTCAGGCAGTTAATCAAATAAGCAATTAGCCTCATGGCAAGCATGCTTTCATGACAACATTAACACATATGCAGTATGCTAAAGCATAAACACTCACAGTGTACTCTGAGCCAAAACAACAACTAGTTAGTAATCAATGCATGATCCTAGTTCATGTTAAGATGGCTAATGCAACGCATGCAAAATGCAACAAGAAATAGGCTCAGCTATTTTAAGATGGCATATGAAATGCAACTTGATAACATGTATTCAAATCGGTATTGAAATACAATGCAGTTATTATGATGCACCGAGCCTGGTGCATGCAAGACAGATGAATGGATGCACGTATGCAGGCATAAGGATGTTAATTGAAACATGCCCTAAAACTAACCATCAAAAACAAATAAATAAAAGAGAGAAAGACGTGGGGTTGGAAGACATGCATCACACACACGCACACTTATTACAAAATTCGCCCTCTCGACGGAGGGTCCGAATGAATAATACAAACTGACTAATTAACTAACTAACAAGCTAATTAATTATTACATAACCAAATTGAATAATAAGCAATCTACTTACTAATTATTACAACACTTAATTAATTAACAAATTAATTAATTAAATTACAAATTGAAGCTAATTAACAAATAAGCATTAAACTGAGCTGTTCCAACTCTGGTTGAAGGAGGAGAGTATGCATGCTTGGTTCCTGTCCCGAATGCTCTCCAAATGCTCTCTAGAGGCTCTGTCTGCAGGGTGTCCTTGAGAACTAGCTGCTGGATCTTACCAAAAACATGCTGGGGAGTGCACCAGTGGCCTGCTGGCCATGAGGAGCTGCTGCCGATCTTCCTGCCGGCCAGAGATGCACACTGCCGGCCAAGGATGAGAGGGTGCCGGCCACTGGTATGCTGTGACACCAAGCTGTAGTAGAGCACAAAATAGAGGAAAAAGAGGGCCTCCCAAGGGTATGTACGCACTATGCCACTCCATATCACTTCCAAACATCAATGGAATAGGCATCATTGGATCCAAGACCATCAATCGCGCATCTTGATGCGTGATGGCCAAAGATCTAACATGTGCTAATTTCAATAAATGCATGACAAATAAGACACCAAGACCATCTCCTTATCATGGGGAATCAAAGGAAATGGAGACCAGGGGAGATTGGCTCATTTCATCACTTCAAGTATGAAATGAGCTAATCTACCTTGTGTTCAACGTAACGCCCGATTGAACACAATGCAATGCACGCAGACAACATGTTATGCAAACATGTAATGTAATAAGCATGCAACAACAATGCCAACAACAAGCATGCGACAACATGCAATCTAACAAGTATGCAACAACATGCAAGATGGATAAGCATGCAATAACATGCAAAGATGAACTAGAATAACATAACAAGTGATGCCAAATCATTGCAATAGGCTGAGTGACACATGCTAGTGGGCTTAATGCATAAAGCTAACAAGCTAGCTTGCACTATGGCTATACAAAGCAAGTCATGCATGAACAAATCAACACAAATTAGACCTTAAACATGCTAAAACATGAACAAAGTCTTCTTGAAGTTAAGCCAAAAGTATGCTAAAATGACATTTTAAAGCATGAGACATATTAGGCTAATTCATGGAAATGCTCTACAAGTGCATGGAGCATGCAAGGGCCAACCAAACCAAACCAAAGTAGAGTCATGACATGGCAAAACATCACCAAAAACATGCTGAAATGGACTCAAACCCATCTATAATGACATGCTACTTCATGAAGCATACAAAGCTAGTTTAAGAGATTTACACTACAAGTGTATTAACCATGCATGAAGTGACAAAACCAAGTAAAAACAGTGGCATGCCATGCTAAAAAAAGCCCAAGTACAAGCTAAGATATGGCCAACATAAACTTACCAAAGGTGCTCACACATGAGGCATTCAAAGCAAGTAAATAAGACACAAAGGAGAGGGGATGACCCTTTCCTATTTAGGACACCAAAACCACTTTCCCACCATTGAAAATTCTCTGGATTTCAGTGGTGGAAAGGTCATGCAAAGGCTTCAACAAGAGCCTAAAGGGATGGCTCAAAACAAGGCCTAACAAGGCCTAAGAGGGGGTAAACCACCCCCAACGAAAAAATGACCTTAAAAAAATGTCTAAAGCATGCAAAAACTGAACTTTTGAAAGCAAGGCCTAAAACAATATGCAAGGATGGCCAAAGTGAGGCACAAATAAATGCTAAAAAGGGGAATATACTCACCCTTGAAGTTCAACTTCAAAAACAGCAAGCTCTGAGGCTAAAAACCAAGTTTCAGAGCTCAAGTAATACTCCCAAGAACCACAGCTCAAAGATGGTGGTGTACCTCTATGTGTTATAGTGCAAAAGTGAAAGAAAAATGAACTTCATAGCACTATTCTATGCAATATAGAGAAAGAGAATGAGAAATATATAGAGAGAGAGCTACAACTTCTCTAAAAAATGACTGACCTCTGGTAGGGAGGGAGAGCCTCTCCTTATATAGAAGAATGCAAGAAGAAGCTTGTTAAACAAGCTTGGCAAGAGCTTCATCCCTCTATACACGTGTATGGAGGGGAGAGGAGTGAAAACCAGCTGGCTCAAAAGATCTAGCGTGAAACCTGCTGAGACAAGAGGTCTGTCGGCCATCAGTGGTGGCCGACAGTGGCTCATTGATGGCTGGCAGGCCTCATCAATGGCCGGCAGTAACAAAGGCATGGCCGGCAGGGCCAAAATGGGGCCGACAATGCACCAAGAAAAACAAGATGGAAGGGCCAATACATGGTCCCAAAAAAAAAAGGCAGAAAGGATACAGGGTTTGGAAAGCTCAAACCTGTGACGTTCCGCTGCGAAAGTCGAGTACCCGACAAGCAATCGAACTAGTTGTTAAATGTACCTGCAAGCACAACCAAGTCTTGAGGATGGTCAAAAATAGGGTATCTACAGCTAGTTTGTGGTTTGAAAACCAAATATATATATATAAATATTATACAATTAGCGACTAAAGTTTTTTAGTCGCTGAAACAATTTTATAAATCCCTCCAAAATATTTGAAATATCTCCCTCCAATAATTTTAGTTCTTTGCCAACCAAAATTATTTTTCGTCGCTGAAAATAAACTTTTAGCGACTAAAATTTTGGTTGCCAAATGTAAAAAATAATTTTTTATTTTCCAATTGGCGACTAAATTGTTTTAGTAGCCAAAGCTCAATATACGGCGACCGAAATTATTTTTCGTCGCTGAAAATAAACTTTTGGCGACTAAAATTTTGGTCGCCAAAGGTAAAAAATATTTTTTTATTTTCCAATCGGCGACTAAATCATTTTAGTAGCCAAAACTCAATATACGGCGCCTAAATTTTTTTTTTTGGTCGCCAATTCTGGCATTTTTGGTGACTAAATTTTTTTTTAGTCACCAATAACCAATATACCCCGACTAAAAAAAATTAGTAGCTAAATATTTTATTTTTTCCGACTAAAAAA